ATTTCAGATTGTATGCAATTCGACCGTATCCAAGTAGTCATCACTTACACTGTACTTGAAGAATTCACACTCAACCAACACACATATTTGAGTAGAACACATAAATCTCATATTTATAATCATAGCATCCCTTCTCCATATAACTAAAAACAAATATAGAATGGAGTTGGCAGTCATGATCCTCTTGTAAATCCCATCGGAGATGATACACATGGAGCAACCTGCTATAAAGCTTAAAAAATTGCTCAAAGAAATGTTCTCAAAACACGCAAACAGAAGTTATGGGATTCCATAAAATAACAAAATCACAATCAAACTGTTGGAAGAATTTCCAAGTCCAGTTTTACTGCAATAGCACAAATAAAAAACATATGAATTCATCAACCATATGATTTTACCCATTTTTGTCTGGCCTCCTCAGATGACCATGACCCATCTTTACGAGTGCGATTGATTTTCCATAATAATAGGCGATCTTGTATACACTGCAAACAAATGTAAATTATTTATCTTCATATCAATATAAATATATATGCAATTGAAATACATACCGTTTCTTGTTGTCTCCTTACGGAGCTCACCCGACCCATCGTATGTGGACATGTTTGTTTTTTGGCATTTTCTGCATTTCTTGCTGCCCTCTCCTATAATAAATATTCGTCATATTAAGGACAATTTTTAATAAACTCGATAACAAGATTTATTTTGCTAACTCACCTTGTCCTGAGGTTGTGACCACTTACTAACAAGCTGAGACCACTGCGCTGGGTCTACTCCTGCAGGGACATCCTCCATGATCTCCTCTATTGGCCTACTATCCCAGTGCTCTGCTTTCAAATTAGTTTTATAATTGCGCCACTTCACACCAAGAGATTGTAGTATCCAATGCTTAATACTTGCAGGGAACTCAAATTTGGCCTAAAGAATGTTAAATAATTTTAGATATCAAACAAGCATAAATAATATCTAACTATTTGTTATCATATTTACCTCTACTTCAGCTAACATTTTCTTCTTAAATGGTTCCAAGCCTTTATTGCGCCAATCTGAGAATGAAATCGGTGCCAAAATAGGATCTCTGGCTACAACCCCTAAGTATGAACCAAGCAGAACAGACTCTGGTATATTACATGGCACCATATTCTCATTG